GCTGTGGCATCCAGACTTTAAGGTTTCACAGGACAGAGTGCTTTCCAAAACGAAGAAGCAACTGTTAGTTTCGCCAGATAAGGATATTAAAACAAAGGAAAACAAATCTTTAGTTGTCCCCTTTCATTTAACAATGGAGTCACCCCAAAAGAGTTGAAAGAGCAGGAGCTCTGAATGAAGGAAAGCCCTTCCCAGAAGCAGTCACATCTCAGCCTCTTCTCAGACTCTTCTCCCTTGCTAGATAAGCTTTTTTTTTTTTTTTTAAAGAGAGAGAGTGTGTCCCTGCAAGAGAGGGGGAGAGGAGCACAGAGAGAGAATCTTAAGCAGGCTCCATGCTCAACGTGGAGCCTGTGGCAGGGCTCGATCCCATGACCCTGGGATTATGAGCTGAGCAGAAATCAAGAATCCTCTGCTCAATCACCTGAGCCACCGAGGCTCCCTGTCAGATAAGTTTTCGGCAACTGCTGCTGAGCATCTCTGGACCTTCCTTTTAGTGTTGTGGAGTGCCTAAGGCTCTGTTTGCTAACTTTGTAGGCAGTGAGATCCTTAAGCCCTGTTTCCTTCCAGCCCCATCCTCATTGTAACACTCGCTGAAGCCCCTTCTCTCTAGGTCATGTTGGTGGGGCAGTATGGCTGAAGGCAGGTTCACTTTCACCTCCCATACCCCCAGCGAACACCATATCTGTCCTGTGGTCTCTCTTAGAGTCGGGATTATGATATAGTGGCCTCCTTTCAGTTTCCCCAAATTGCCATATTCTTTTTTGCCTTAGGGCTTCTGTAGGTGCTATTCCCTCTGGCCAGAACACACTTCTTCCAGCTAACTCCTAATCATAAATGCAGTTCTAAAAAGCAGCATTTCCTGACCATCTAGACTAGGCTAGAGTTCCAATCATGTCAATCTTAGTGCACAGCCTTCTCCTCAGAAGCATGCATCACCCTTAGCTGTTGTTCAAGCCCTGCCTCATTTGGTGTCAGACCAGAGGCTCCGTGTGCAAGAGTGTGCCTTTCTGGATCACTCTGCTTCTCCTGTGGCAGACAGCAGAGCACCCCCCCTCCCCCCACACACACATATGCACCAGCTTCAAGTAAGGGTAATGGACCCTATGATCACATACTCTGGTTACTCTCTAGTGGTTTCCCTCAGCCTTCAGTTCAGTCCATTCATACTTTCCAGAGGCCAGTCATGACCACACCCACAAATGAGCAACATCTCCAAGGCTTGCAGCGTCCCTCAAGAGTATCTTAGGGGAGGTTGTGTCTGTCCCAGGGGCCAAGAGCAGGGTTTGTCACAACTTCCCCCTCCTAATGGGGAGGCTCCCTTGGCCTTGATGATTTGGACTTGATTTTATTGATGAGTGAGCTTCCTTATGACAGAAAACATCAGATTCATATGAGCGCTGACTATATTCCAACAGAGCAACCAGCAGAGGGCTTGGTAAAACGTGGGCTAGATCAGGCAGATGCAGTGGGTACATAGATGCCTGGTTATCTATACTTGTGTGCGCATGTGAAGGCTGAGTCACAGGAATGCTGAACATAATGGAAACAATTACTTCCAATCTTGTTTAAGAAAAAGAAAGGAAGGAAGAGAGAGGGAGGGAAAGAGGAAATAAGGAGGGAAGAAAGAGGAAGAAAGAAAAAGGAACAAAGAGAGAAAGGAAGGAGGGAAGGAGGGGGAAGAAGGAAAGAAAAGAGAAAAAGAATCTCCTGAAAAAAATCAACCAGTGACATCACAAAGAGAGACACAGATTGGCAGAAAATAGTAGGAAGACAGAGGTGCCCACCTGACCTCCTGGAAGAACCCAGCAGTCCAAGTGGCTAGAATAGCACATGAACTTGACCCAACCCCAGAAAGAGACAGAGGATCCGCACAAGCGCTCAGGTTACCCATAAGATGGACCCAAATTGGACTTTTCTGGAAAGGACTCCACAAGTTGCTAAGGCTTTTGGAGTACAAGCTTCCTTCACCCCATCCATTTTGGGATCAGCCCCAACCAGTACATGTGGGGCCTCACACACCTGTCAATATCTGGTTAGAAACAAAACACCGGAATGAATTGCAGAGTAGGAGGCAATAAATGCTTAGGTCAGAGAGTCTGCAGTTTATAATTCACTCTTAATTCTCCATCTTGGGATAGTTCATCCATCTGGTTTAGCCTGGGGATGGGGGCACCGTCACCCTCCTCAGCAGCACAGAGCCACACAGAATCCTTCAGCTCCCCGACCAAGCGTTTAGTGGGAAACCCATCCTTTCCCAAGTGCTGGCTGAGAAACCAGTTCAAAGAAGTCCTCTGTCCCCCTGCCAGTAAGCAAGGAAGCCCTGCAGGGTTGGGGGGTTGGGAACCAGGAAATAGACCAAGCCAGGCCACTTCCCATCAGTGAACAGAAGGGGAATGAGTTGGGGCTGGGTTTCTAGGGCCCACCTACACCAGCTTCTTGGCTTTAAAGAAACTCTTGAGGTGCTGCATCTGCCAGACACCTGTGGCCACGAGGATGAAGGTCTGCAGAATGGACCACCACAGCACCCGCTGGTTGGTGCTCTCGCTGGTCTGCCGGAAGCGCTCCTCTCGCCACTGTGGGAGGGGAGAAGGGAGTAGATACACGTCCGGAACTGAATTGCACCCCCACCAACTCTGGGGGAAGAGCGGGAAGCTTCCCTTCCCAGGAGGTGATACATCCCCCGTCCCAACTGTGCCAGCCCAACCCAGCCCCTCACCCTCTGGTATTCCTGCTCCTTCTGGATCAACTCCACCTGCTCCACAAGCTGCTGGACACGCAGATGCAGCTGGGTCAGCTTGTCCTTGGCTGCAAACTCCGCGTAATCGTTGCTGCGTTCACCCAACTGCATATCCAAGTGAATCGCCTGGAACGGGGGAACCAAGGGTGGGAGTCAGGGAGCTTAGCTCCATGGACCTGCTGGAAATCTAAGCTTCTGCATCCCAGCCTGGGCCTGACACTGTTCCTCACACACCAACTTGTTGACTGGCCTTGCTCTGGGCGTCCAAACACCAGATCGGGACTCGGCTTGTGTGGAGTTGTATATTCAAAACACCAAGGATAGGGACAACATGTGCAAAGGAAACAGAGGTAAGACTCTGAGGCAGTTTACTAAAAGTCCTGTATTGGGAGATGACAATGGAGAGGCCTGAAGCAATCAGCAGAACAGCTCTGAATTTCACATGGTGAAACTCAGTCTGTATCCTAGGGATGGGGCAGGGAGCTGAGGGAGGATTTTAAGTCACGGTAACTCCCTCCCAAGGTCTCCTTTTATCCTCAAGATCTGTTCCCCATGTGCTTACTTCATGTGAAGTCCCAGCCCTACTCAACAGGCACCACCCACTGCACCCTTCTCACTCTAGAGGCAGAGAAATTGAGCCCCTGGGGACGGTGGACCTCCCACCTGCCACACTCACCAGCTTGCCATCATAGAAGAGGGCGAACCGGATAGACTCAAGGTGGAGGCAGATCTGGTGCTCTCCTGGAGACTGGGAGGTGAAGGTGAAGCTGCCCTGAGGGCCGTACTGACGGGCCAGAAGGTTCTAGAGGAAGCAGCCTCCAGTGAGCACAGAGATGTTAGCCATACACCTGCTTCCAGGAGAATTGTAGGGGTATCCCAGGTCTACACCCCCACAGGCCAGAGGGGACAGTGTGAAAGAAAGGACATCAGTTTGGCCAGAAATTCTCAGATCCCAGCATTGCCAATACAGAGTACAGTTTGCAAAGAGCATGGCCCTCCTTAAGCTATCCTGCCTGTGAGAAGACAGATCCTTCTGTGAGAAATGAAGGACTAGAGAAGGCTACACATTGACTCTGGGGGCCTGGGGGTGGGGGCCCGGTGGAAGGCTGCAAGGAATAAAGGCCTGCCTCACCTTGTTCTCCGGGTCCTTCACAAACACAAATAAATTGATCCACTGGGGGGAGGGCTGGTACTTTTCCATAGCAGGGTCGTATAGCTCCGTCTTGTAGTTACCTAATGGAGAGGCAACGGAGGTGCAATCCCATCCATACCCATGATGGAGTCCCAGTGGTCAGGGGAGGAACAGGAAGATCTTGAGTCTGAGGAGACCGACCACGGCCCTCGGCCTCTCCTCCCTTCTCCAGCCCCACTTCTCTGCCATCATTCCAGTCTGGTTCAGACTAGCCTCCTAGGGCCCCCATCCCCGGCACAGGCAAGAGAAAGGATGCCTTGGCCAGACTGCTGTCCACCCATCCCTCTGAGCCCTACCCCCGGCAGGGGAGGGAAGATATGGGCCTGAGCTGGTGCCACCCATTTCCCTCCCCTCTCAGGACTCTAGGTGCAGGGAGGGCAAGGCCAGGACTGGCCGAGACGCGCACCTATGACCACGGTACCATCGGGGATCTCCTGGATGAAGCACTTCTCCTCCAGCTCGCGGACCTCGAGGTAGAACGCGTCCCCGGGGCCCATCAGCGCCAGCAGCTGCCCCAGCAGCAGCGGCAGGGCCATACCGGTTGCCCGCGCTGTGCCCCATCCCCGCCCGGGGCGAGCCCGGGGCCCAGCTCCTCGCGCCCCGCAGGCCCCCGCCACCTTCCCAGGCGAGTCCTCCGGTCTCCGCGCGGAGCCTGCGGAGACTGCAAACTCGCGCACGGACTACAACTCCCGGGAGCCCTCGCGTGGCCCCGCCCCCGGCGCGTTCCCGCCGACCCACGCTGCTGAGGGGCCAAGTGAGACCCCCCCGCCCCCAACAACCTGGAGGAACGCTCTGGAGCGCTTTCCGCCACCTGGCATCTCTTAATCCACGCAGAAACCCGGGGAGGCGTAGCTGCTGTTAGCCCATCTTGCCGATTGGGGTAACAGCTTCAGGGGCGGAGGGTTGCCCTCTGCAACATGCGGCGCAGCCACCCCAGATGTGTGCTGAAAGGATGGGGATAACGGGACGTTTATGACCTGGGCTTCTACCTAGAAGAGTTTAGGATTGATTAGGGGAGAGGGGGTGACATGGTGACATGGAATGAGAAGAGAAGCCCTGTGGGGTTTAGAGGCTGAAGCAGCAATTCAGGAAGGGGAGAGGGAAATGTCGCGGCTTTCGTGGAAGTGGTAGATTTGACTCAAGCCTTGAAGGATGATTAAGACCTCCCTGAGCAGCGAGAGACAAGAACAATTTAGGCAGGGGGGCCTAGGATTGCCTAGCAGCCAGTTGGCCAGTTAAGGAACTAGGGGAAGAAAAGTTACAGGAACTTTGAGGGTGAAGGTAATTGGGCCGAATCTAAGGGCACAGGAGGTGCCAGGCCCACATAATAGGGGAGCCCTTCATCCAGTGTACTTCCGTCTGCACTAGGAACCAGGAAGAGGTTGTGGGTGAGCCTGGAGGGGAGAGAAGATAGCAGGAAAGCCACTGGAAAAGGATAGCAGTACACAACCGAAAGGGGTGGGAGAGTGGAGCCAACATGACAAAATGGGAGCGGAGAAAAAACAAATCTAGAGAATTCCAAAGCCCACAATGCCCTGTGAGAATAGTGTAGACCCAAACATGTCAGTAGAAAGATGTAGTTCAACCCAGGTAGTGGGATGAAGTCTTCCACCACCTAGTGCCTGTGGTGCTAAGAGATGCTCATTAGTTTATTCTGCAACGTGTGGTGGTGGTGGTGGTGGTGGTGGTGGTGGTGGTGGTGGTGATGATGATTTTTTTTAATAAGTTTTTTTTTTTTTGAGAGGGGCACCTGGGTGTCTCAATAGGTTAAGTGTTTGACTTCGGCTCAGGTCATGGTCTCGTGGTTCATGAGTTCAAGCGCCACATCATGCTTTGTGCTGTCAGCTCAGAGTCTGGAGCCTGCTTCGGATTCTTTGTCTCCCTCTCTTTCTGCCTCTCTTCAGCTTGCTCGCTCTCTCTCTCTCTCTCAAAAGTAAATAGACATTAAAAGAAATTTAAAAAAATTTTTTAATCTTTATTTATTTTTGAGAGAGAGACAGAGTGTGAGCAGGGGAGGAGCAGAGAGAGAAAGGGAGGCACAGAATTTAAAGCAGGCTCCAGGCCCTGAGCTGTCAGTACAGAGCCCGACACGGGGCTGGAACCCATGAACCATGAGATCATGACCTGAGCCAAAGTCTGACACTCAACCGACTGAGCTACCCAGGCACCCCAAAAGAAATTTTTTTTAAAAATAAGTTGTTTTGAGAGAGAGAGAGAGCACGTTTGAGCAGGGGAGGGAGAAAGAGAGACAGAGAATCTTAAGCAGGCTTCACACCCAGCATAGAGCCCAACATGGGGCTTGATCTCATGACTGTGAGATCGTGACCTGAGCAGAAATTAAGTCAGACACTTAACCAACTGAGCCATCTAGGTGCCCCTTTAAATAAGATTTTATTTATTTAAGTAATGTCTACACCCAACATGGGGCTAGAACTCACAACCCTGAAATCAAAAGTCACATGCTTTCCCAACTGGAGCTAGCCAGGCACCCTGATGATCATCTTTTTTGTTCTTTAATGCCCGGCACTATTATAATCACTTTTTTTAAAATTGATTCCTTTTATGTTTTATTTATTTTTGAGAGAGCACAAGGGGGGAAAGGGCAGTGAAAGGGGGACAGAGGATCAGAAACAGGCTCTGCACTGACAGGCTTACAACAGTGAGCCCGATGTGGGTTTCAAACTTCACGAACCGTGAGATCATGACCTGAGCTGAAGTCGGACACTCAACTGACTAAGCCACCCCGGTGTCCCTGTAATCACTTTTTAAGTTCACTAAGTGAACTAATCTTTTAAAAATTGTTAGGCAGACTCTAATGCTATTCCAGTTTAATAGCTAGAGAGGGAAATAGCTGCAAAGTTGAGTAAAAACTTGCCCAAGATCACCCAGTTGATAAGTGGCAGGCATTTGCTGACACGAACTCTGGTCCAGGTGTTATGACACGTGTTGGACATGAAAATGAATTAGACCTGTCATCTGCCATCTAAGAGCCCACTGAAAGAAAAGGAGCAATTACAATACAGTGTTTTAAGACTGATAATATATTTTAGTTACCGGAATTGTCCCCTCATTTTAATGGTGTGGCTCGTTGACAATCCTAGGAGAGTGTTTCTTACTTCCTCATTTGGAATGACTATTAAACAAAAATGACAGATTCAGTTATTAATAACAGTCACGCTGTATAAAGGCCAAATAAACAAGAGCTGAAAAGCATCTGTTGATTTGGGAACTAGTTGTCTACCAGGGAATGTAGCTACAGCTGGGAGCAAAGGCAGAAAAGCGAGGACTCCGGTTTGGGAGACAGGGGTGCTGTCCTTGGTCCTGATTGTTCTCTGAACCAGCACTACCACCACCTGGAGTAAAGTATTGGCTTTGTTTTGTTTCCAATAAAATTTGCAATCCCTCATAAGCCAATACTCTTATAAAATACAATTAAAAATGAAACTAATCATGTGCTTGGATATCACATCAATGTTAAACTTCTATAAAAGGTTCTAAAAACTCAATTTCTGTACTTAAATCATTGCAGACCTGTAACAAACATGGATGGACCAGTGGCAGCCCCCACACCCCACTATATGAGTAACCAGTCTTGCGTGGAAGTGGTCCATTGATCAGACTACTCACAGAAATCCCCCAAAGAGTAAAAAGTGGAAAATGCTTGCATCAAAATACATGTAAGGAGATAGTGCACCAGTGAGATTTCAAAGCCCAGAATCCAGACATTAAGAAGGGGGAATATGACTGCCCAAGGAGTAAAAGTGTTTTGTTAAAAATAGAACAGCCTATTTCTGATCGATGACGAGGCTAGGAACATAAGAGCAGTGAACCCACCAGTCTGCGATCCTCCCACTTGACAAAAAGCTCTTTCCACAATTGCTGCCAAGACCACTGAACCTGGGTGCCATTTGCAAGATTAAAAGAAGACACTGCGGTGCTACGTCTACTTGCCCCATCTGTGGTTCACCCAAGACCTCAGAATTTGATGGGTTTTTTTTAATAGGAGAGATTTATTTGAAGACATATTACAGCATACAAAACTACATAAAGGCTTAATTTCCACTCAAACACTGGTAGATTTGACATAATTCATAATAAAAAAAACTTTTTAAAATTTTATTTTATGTATTTTGAGAGAGGGGAGAGGGACAGAAAGAATCCCAAGTAGGCTCCATATTGTCAGCTCAGAGCCTGATGTGGGGCTCGATCCCACGAACTGTGAGATCATGACCTGAGCCGAAATCAAGAGTCAGATTCTTAACCGACTGAGCCACCCAGGTATCCCTCTCACCACTCTTATTTAACATTGTATCAGATCTAGTAACTGTAAGAAGGCTAAGGAAAAAAAAGGCATGCGGATGGGAAAGGAAGAAATAAAACTGTCCCTATTTGTAGATGACATGATTATATATTTAGAAAAGTCTAAGAAATCCATAGATTTCCTAGAACTAATAAATGAATTCAGCAAGTTTGTATAACATAAGAGCAACATGTACAAATCAATCACATGTCTACATACTAACAATAAATATAAGGAAACCAAAGTTAAAAACAATATGATTTACAGTCAGTTCATAGAAAATGAATTACTCACGTGAAATCTTAACAAAATACGCATAAAATCTGTTTGCTGAAAATTACAAAATTCTGATGAAGAAAAAGTCAAAGAAGACCAAATAAATGCAGAGACATACTGTGTTCATAGATCAGAACACTCAACATAGTAAATATGGCAATTCTTTCCAAACTATTACCCAAGTTTAACACAATTCATGTCAAAGTCCCACCAGGAGTTTTGTTTTATTTTAATTTTTTCAATTTATTTTTGACAGAGAGAAAGACAGAGCATGAGCAGGGGAGGGACAGAGAGAGAGGGAGACAGAATCTGAAGCATGCTCCAGGCTCTGTGCTGTCAGCACAGAGCCCGATGTGGGGCTCGAACCCACAGACCACAAGATCATGACCTGAGCTGAAGTCGGACACTCAACTGACTGAGCCACCCAGGCGCCCCAGGAGTTTTTTTTTTTTTTTAACATAGACAAGATTATTCTAAAATTTACATGGAGAGGCAAAGGAACTAGCATAACTAAAACATTCGTGAAGAAGAATAAAGTGGCAGAAATCAGTCTACCTGATTTCAAGACATTGTATGCCTTAGTCAAAAAATCAAAACTATAGGGGCACTGGTGTGGCTCAGTTGGTTAATCATCCAACTCTTGATTTTGACTCAGGTCACGATCCCACAATTTGTGGGATGAAGCCCTGCATTGGGCTCTGTGCTGACAGTGTGGATCCTTCTCGGGATTCTCTCTCCCTCTCTCTCTCTGACCCTCCCCTGCTTGTGCGCTCTCTCTCTCTCTCTCTCTCTCTCTCCCTCCCTCCCCCCTCTCAAAATAAATAAATAAAAACTTTTAGAATATATCCTGCACCAAAGTAGTACATTTGTTACAATCAATGAACCTACATTGACACATTATTTTCACCCAAAGTCCTTAGTTTACATTGGGAGTCCATCTTGGTGTTTTACATTCTATGGTTTTGGACATGTATCTACCATTATAATGTCATATAGAATAGTTTCATTGCCCTAAGAATACTCTGCATTCTGCCTATTCATCCCTCCTCCTCCCTTCCTGGCAACCACTGATCTTTTGCCTTTTCTAGAATGTTGCATGGTTGGAATCATACAGTAACAACGTTTTTTGGATTGGCTTCTTTCACTTAGCAATATGCATGTAAGGTTTCTCCATGTCTTTTCATGGCTTGATAGCCCATTTCTTTTTGGCACTAAATAATATTCCATTATCTGTATGTACCACAGTTTATTTGTACACTCACTTACTGAAGGACATCTTGGTTGCTTTCAAGTTTGGGCAAGTATAAATAAAGCTGCTACAAATATCTTTATGCAAGATTTTGTGTGGACATAACTTTTCAATTTATTTGGGTAAATACCAAGGAGCCCTATTGCTGGATTACATGCTAAGAGTATGTTTAGTCTTATAAGAAACTATCAAACTATCATCCAAAATGGCTGTAACATTTTGCATTCTCACCAGCAATGATTAAGAGTCCCTGTTGCACCATAACCTTACCAGCATTTGGTGTTGGTTGTCAGTGTTTGGATTTTTATCATTCTAATAGGTCCCTGGTGGTATCTCATTGTTTCAATTTGCATTTCCCTAATGACATATGATCATAACCAGGTTTTCATGTGCTTTTTTTGCCATGTATGATCTTCTTTGCTGAACAGTCTGTTCAGATCTCTTGCTCATTTCTTCATTGGGTTATTCATTTCTTACTGTGGAGTTTTAAGGGTTCTTTGTATATTTTGTTGTTTTTTGTCTGTTCTTTGTATATTTTGGGTAGCAATTATTTCTGATATACATCCTTTACAGAGATTTTCTCCCAATTTATGGCTTGGCTTCTCATTCTCTTGAAAATAGCCTTTTCTATTATTTTTTTTTAATGGTCATTTATTTTTTATTTTTTTTTATTTTTTTTTTCAACGTTTTTATTTATTTTTTTTGGGACAGAGAGAGACACAGCATGAACAGGGGAGGGGCAGAGAGAGAGGGAGACACAGAATCGGAAACAGGCTCCAGGATCCGAGCCATCAGCCCAGAGCCTGACGCGGGGCTCGAACTCACGGACCGCGAGATCGTGACCTGGCTGAAGTCGGACGCTTAACCGACTGCGCCACCCAGGCGCCCCGGTCATTTAT